ATATTCTAGCAGAGTATTTAGCTTAGTGGTTCTATTGCCTGCCTCGAAAGCACAAAGTCCCAAGTTTGATCCCCTATACAAAAAAACAAAACTAAACTAAACAAAACAAAAAACCCAAACAACAACAAGAACAACAAAACCCCAAAACAACCAAAAAACCAAAAAAGCAAAAACATTCTGAATATCCTAGGAAAAGTACTTTAAAAATTCAATTCTTCTATTAGTATTTTGAAAAGTGAAATATAAAGTTAAATGCATAGGTATATATAGTTTTGAGTTTTAACATTTTCATCTGAGATCCACTCTTATCAAAAAATAAACTATCATTGAAAGTTCCCTTCTCTTTCCAGTAAATCTACCAACCTGATCCTTAGAATTTATTTTTGCCTTTTCTTAAGTCTCACTTAAGTGGACTGTAACTGTATATATCTTTTATGTTTTACTTTTTCTTAGTGTAATTTTGATGATCAAATGAATTTTGAGATTCTTCTATGTTGTTTGGTAATCTGTTCCGTTTCATTGCTGAGTTGTATTCCATTATAGGAATAGACCATTTTTTTTAATCTACTTATTTTTCTGTTAATATTTGGGTTTTTTCTAGTTTGGGACTATTATGAATATAGTTGCTGTTAGCAGTATTTTAAAATATTTTAAACAGATATATATGTTTATTTATCTTGGATAAATACCTAGAAGTAGAATTTCTGAGTTATAGGGAAAGTGGATATTTATGAGAAACTACAAGTTTTTAATAATAGTTACAATAATGTACATTTTCACCAGCAATATGTGAGGTGTGGTTGTTCAACATCCTCTATAAGATTTGAAGGTCATCTTTTTATTTTGACATTCTGGTGAGTATGTGGTAGGGCATTATTGTTTTAATTGCATGTTCTTCACAATTAGTGATTTTGAGCATTTTTTTCATGCTCCTGCTGACCTTTCATATATCTCCATTTGTAATGTGTCTGTTCTTTCTTTTAGAAAAGTTAGGTTTGTCTTTCATGCATTGTGAGCATTTCTCCCCAGTCTGTGGCTTTCCTGTTAATTTTCTTGGTAATATCTTTTTTTAGTAAAAGTTTTATTTCTTGATGATGATGATGATATGGTTAATATTTTCTATGTCCTTGTATGAAATCTTTTCTGCAGTGTTTTCTTCTGGTGGATTTATACACTTAGTTTTTTACATTTAACTTTTCAGTCCACTTTGAGTTCATTATCGAGCTTGATCAAGGGATCAAAGCTTTTTTATTTCCTTTATGGATATCAAGCTGTAACACCATCAATTATTGAAAAGAATCTTTTTCTTATTGCCTTAGGCCTTTGTCATATTAGGTAACTATGTGTGCTTGGGCCTATTTCTGGACTCTCTATCGACTTATTTGCCTATTAATTAATATGCCTATATCACACTTTTGTGATTAGTGTTAGTACTACAAAAAGACCTGAAATCAAGTAATGTAAGTCTTCTTTCTACTTTGTTCTCTGGGAGTCCAAGTGCTTTGTTTTCAGTGTAAGGCCTTGCACATCTTTCATTAATTTCTCCATAAATACATGATTATGGTGCCCTTATAAATAACTTTATTAAAATTAAACTTGTTTCTTGCTAGTTCTGACAGATTCTATTTCCAAAAATAGCTGCGACAATATTTCCAACTCTTATGCTCTTCTAGAACGTTGCCACTTTCCCATCAGGAGACAAAGTTTCTTTCCTCCTCCCTTGGGCTGAGTGGGCCTTTGAGATGGCCTTGATAATCAGGAAGTGGTGGAAGAAACACTGAGCCCCTCAAGGCCAGGTTAGGAAAGGCGACACAGCATAGAAATGACATTGTCTCTTGAGGAACCCACCCTGGAACTCACCACCACGAAGTGGGAACCCCAGGTAGAGAAGCCATGTATGGGTAACCCTCTTGCCTGCCCCAACTAAAGCTAGCTGCCTGCTAGCACTGAATGCCATGCATGCATGTTGCGGAGTAAATGAAATCATTAATGGGGACAGGATCTCGGATGATGGCCCCTTTTGTCACTGGGAAGAGAAAAATTCACAATTCTAGTAAATATTTCCTTTTTATGAAGTTTGAGACACTTAGCAAGAACTTCAGAGAAGAATATTTTATTGAACTGAGCTTCCTTCTTGGATCTTTCACCTAATGCTGTCAAGTTTGTTAGTTTTTAGTTTGTTAGTCTATAAATAACAGGGAGAGCAGGGAGATGTTTTATTTAAAAAGATAAAAGGAAGTTGGTCTGGGAGCACAGGGAAAAATGGGTAAGGGATGGATATACAAATGCCTTCCACTGTGCCTGTACTGTCTGTGATTTTTCTTAAACTGGAGAAACGATACATGGATTGCCATATGTTCACTTACACCTTTTAGCATGCCTCACATATGTATGTGTGCCGTTTTCTTTTAAATGTTTATATATAATACTTGTACATAATAAACATATATATAATGCAGACACACACAAAAACATTTTAAAAAGAAATGGGGGCCAGGGTGTAACTCAGAGATAAAACATGTTTAGCATATCTTAGGGTCTAGGTACAATTTCCAGAACTTCAAAGAAAACAAAGAAGTAGAACCTTTTCACTTAGAAGAAAGAAGCTTAGATGACCCAAAACCTTTATAGGTATGAGAGAACTTCTTGAGAAGGGTGATAACTGTTTTCTAGGGCCACGATGATTAAACAAGAAAGAATGGACTCAAGTTCAAACAGAAATTAAGAAGGTCATAGAAAGGACTACTTGAGAGCCCAAGTTCTGGGACACTGGAACAGGTTACTAAGAGAAGCTATCCAGCCTCTTTCCTTGGAAATCTCAGAGAAAAAGTCACTGCTCCTGAGGGCCTGCATTTTCTTCTGGGAAATTGGTCCGTCCTTGCTGAAGAAGCTGTTTAGGAAGAGGGGCACCCAGAACAGTGAAGGACAGAGAAAGCTGTTTAAGGGAAAGACAAGGAATTCCTCCCTGCCTGCACTCCTTCTCTTGGGAGGAAAAGGCCTGCTCACTGGGACTTGGTTATGTTCAGTGATACTCAACAATCATGGCGTGGGGTTGGTGGGTTCTACTTTGGACCGTCTCATTCTTCTTGATTTAGGAGCACCTGGGATTATGCCTCTAAGATTTGAAGCAACTATCTTCTTAAGAAGCTCTTACTTTTATAAAGCTAAAGTACATTTCTCAGGCTCTCCCTGTTGATCTGAACTTTGCATTTGCTCTTCCTCTTTATGGGTTCCACCTTTGACTCCTAGGCAGCTTCTGGGAGGGTAAAAGGGTGCTTCCGGGTGATCCATATTGGCACTGGATTCCAAGCCTAGTAGTAAATACTGGACATTGCTTGCTTTGGTCCTTTGTGCATACATTTCTCCTGCAGAACTGAGAGGTAGGATTGAAGTCTCGATTTTATGACCAACATCTGTCTATTCGCTTCAGTTTCCCAAGGGGCAGTTTGATTAGGGGAATTACCATGGAGATAACATAAATTCAAGTGAAATATTCACCCTGCTCTTTGAAATCTATGCTGTGATCTTCAAGGTGTGCCAAGTGAACAATCTTAGCATTGCTACAAAGTCATCAGGCCAGTTTGGGTTATTGGGAGATAAACATATCAGCAAGGAATGATCGTGTTTTGTGATAGGATTACACAAAATCAGGGTAGGATACTGGGCCTATTTGTGGTGGTCTAGGCAAATGTTCCACATTTAACATATTTTGCTTCTTTATAGTAAAGGAAAAAACCTTTATTCTGTTCTTAGCTAGTTATGGTCAATTTTTTTCTACTATTCTTAAAGTGTAAGACTAATAAACAAACAAAAAAAACCATATTTTCCTTTCAAAATTCTGCTCAGTCCTCCAGGAGTTATAGACAGAAAATGTACTGAACCATTAGTGACTCGTTTATGACAAATTCAGGGCTAGGCTTAATCCCAGCTTCAAGATCATCCTTAGCAGTGATGTAGACTCACTGAGAAAATATCTCCCACCTCCAACCTCAGCGTGTCACTTTAGAAATTTTCTTTTTTCTCAATCTTCTGGTAAAAATTAATTTCTTATCAGAAAGATGGTTTTTGTTGTGGTGTTGTTCTGGGTCCTGACTAGACAGGTCAAAATTTAGAACAGTCTCTTGTCAGCCTGCAGTTGTCAACACAAGATTTCCATACCTCATGGATTTTCCTAAGAAAATCCCTGGCAGAGACAGAAGCCAGCCAGGAGAAGCTGGTGTGTGTGTGTGTGTGTGTGTGTGTGTGTGTGTGTGTGTGTGTTTGCATGCCTTGATTTTCCCAGCACTGGTTCTTTCTGATGAATGCATTCTCCTCATCAGTTTTACTTTATTAAAATGAAATTTAATGATCAGCAGTAAGGGCAGGTAAGGCTCTTCTGTGACTTTTTTAACCCTGAGGTCAGATATGATAAAGATTTAGTTTTTCTCTCTCTATGGAACTGTGTCCAGGATGGTCAAATACAGTTTAAACATTAACAAGTAAAAGCAAACAAAAATACCTCGTGTGACCTTAGTCCACTCACCTTACCTATCAAAGACTTGGTTTCTGTGAAAGGAGGTGCGACTGTGGGTGTGGGTGGGTGTGAATGTGTGTGGTAGGCGTGTTCTCTTAGTGTACTCCAAGGTTTCTTATGGGCGTAGGATATCGGGTTAGAATTCTACCAGGCTGTGCGGGTAGCGGGCAGGGGCTGCAGTTCCAGGACTCCTGAGCTCCACGAGGCGCATTAGATACTGGAAATAGCTGCTCAGTGAAGAGCCTAGGGAGAGGCTTCCAGGGGTGCTCACGGATAAACAGAAACTGGGAAAGAATGCAAGTCGGGAGGCCCCAACAGTCCCAAGGCCTCCACTAGCATCCTATGACAAGTGACAGGCAGGTAAACAGGTAGCAGGCAAGCTCAGACCCCGAGCCACCAGGCGCGCCGGTCTCCCGGAGAAACCCAAATAACCCGATACAGTCCCCACCCCAGAAGCCTTCGCCGCCTTCCCCCACCTGGAAGCCGCGGCTCCCTCCCCGCCTCCCGGCCGCTCCTCCTCCCCGG